TTCGTGACCTCGCTGGAGCCGCGCCCCGTTTGCCCTGGGGCGCGGCGCAGAGGGGGCGCGGCTGGCACCCAAGAGCCTAGCTCAGTGGGTATACCCCTGAGCTGGTTGAAATACAGACCTGTGTTCCAATCCAGATGATGGAACTCGATGAGTAAAACCATATATTCTAGTTTGACTGGGCCGACCAGACTCTGATTAGCCATAGAGCGCGGCCCAGCTTACTTCTTTCGGGACATCCGTTAAAAATGGGAACTATGCCGGAGGATAATAGTGCAGGGAGGGGGTGAAAGCGGAGTGAACCCGGACGCAGGTCGCGCCGGGTACGTACGAGAGAAGGGGGCGAACGTCTGGTTGGCCCGTCCCGTAGCCGGGTCCGCCCGATGGCTGCCTGTCGCTGTGGCCAAGGGGCGCCGGCCGGCTCTAGGTCCTTCGGGACACCTGTTAAAATTGGGACGATACAGAGAAGATTAGCATGGCCCCTGCGCAAGAGTGACACGCATAAATGGGAAGGGAGTCCATCGGCCGGAGCTTCTGCTCGGCACTTCGACTTATTCGTCGGGCTGCGCAGTCCGGAAGAACCGATGGGACGCTAACATCGGTTGAAGAATCAGACAGCGGGCAATGAGTACGAGCAGAGCGGAGCAGTGGGAGGAGCGGAGCGAACCTGGCCGTATTGCTGTGCCGGGTGTATGCAAATAGGGGCGGAGCGCTGCAGTGTCGGGCTGGGCGCTGTGGTGTGGAGTATTGCGGGCGGCGAGTAGCAGCGGGCTAGGTGAGGCAACACGGGGACAGGGCTGACGGGAGGAGGAGATCACGGCACGCACAGCGCTAGCAAGTAGGAGAGAGAAATGAAACTGAGCAACGGGAGGCGCCAAATGCATGCGAAGTGAGGCATGAAGAAGGTGGACGGATCTGGACGGGAAAGTACGCCAGATACGTGTAGGTGGAGATGAAATTGACGAGAGGGAGCACAACATTCCAAGGAGGAGTGAGAGAGAGCAGGGCGGAAGGAGGAGTGAGAGAGAGCAGGGCGGGCTGAGCAAAGTGCAAACACAGTTGCCGTAAAAATAAAATAAAACAATAAAAACACAAATGAACCCGGACGCGAGTCGGTACCGGGTGCATTCGAAGAAAGGGGTGGCAGGTCGGGCGAGGAGTTGAGCATGGCGGACGGTAGAAGCCGTAACTCCCTCATCCCTTGTCAGATTTAGGCGAATGGAGAGGCGATCCTGGGACTTCATAGTCGGGCGATCACGATGGCGAGGTTACTTTTCGAGTTGAGTTAGTAGGATGGGGATTAGTGAAGAAATGAATCGCGCGGAGCTATGGGGAGTGACGAAGAAGTAGGGAGGAAGATTGTTGTTCTTTCCCGATACTTAACGCGAACGGGCGATCAAGGACTCAAAGTGGGGGTTTTTAGCCATCGCGAACGCGATGGCAGGGTTAGTTTGGAAGAAAAAATGGTGTATAAGTAGGTTAGTGGAAGATATGGTGCACGGAGATATGGCGGAGGGGAGGAAAAAAACAAGAAGAAGAAAACGAGGTAGTACTCGATTCTTGGTGGAATCGAGGGAAGTGAAGTTCGAAATAGAGGTTTTGAGGTGGGGCGGAGTGAATAGTGGAGGTAGGCATGGAAGAAAATTAGTAGATTTGGAGTTAGAAGTGAAAGTGAATCTGAACAGAAAAGTGCATTAGGTGCATGTAGGAGGAAGAAAAGTAATAAGAAGAAGAAGTTCGAGTCTCGCCCGATCCTTGAAGATATCGAGCGAGATAGGAGGCAAGTTGGAGGATTTGACGTATTGCGAGTTGGATGGTAGTGTTAGAATTGGAGTTTAGTGGTTAGAATTGGAGTTTAGTGGTTAGTTTTAGAGCTCCGTTAATAAGAGGATGCTTGAAGGTTTGAGCATGGCGATGTACCTTCCCGTGCCTTAGTGGAAGGTTCATCCGTAAGCTATCGGTCATAGTGATGATCGAAGGCACGAGCGCGATAGGTGGTGGGCTCCTAGGTATTTGACACTCAGCCCCTAGCTAAACCAGAGTACCTGGTCGGGTTCTGACCAGGTTTGTCAAGAGAGAGAGGGAGAATGTATACTTACCTTGGTGGAGAGGATGCGGGATGAACCTCTCGGTGTTTTAGGGGCAAATTCAACCCCTTCGTTTCTTTTCTTTTCTTCTCGCTCCCCTGGCGTAGTTTTGTGTTTTCTTCGGTTCTGATCACGTCAACGGACAGGTACGTTCAGCCGTAATAAAGCGAGAGAGAGAGAAGGATGGAGTGAGGGAACGTACCTGGGCGTGGCGGTGATCTACAAGGACGGCATCTTCATGGACTACGGCTGCTGCTGTTGACACCAGCAGGATGCACGGTCAACTCGTAGACGGCTGGTAGTTAGGCAGTGAACAACAAGGGGGCAAGTCGCGAGAGTGCAGGCTACCTCTGAGCCAGTGCACTGCGTATGCTACCGTACAGCGTGGTTGTAGACGGGCGAAGAAGCTTGGGAGCTCACGAGCAGCAAGGAAGGGGGGTACCTGATCACGGTTGTGCAGTTCAGAGCAAGTGGAGCCGAGGAGGAACTGGGAATTTGAGATTTATCTGTTTGACTGGTATCTACGACACCAGCCACGAAGATTGCAGATTTACCACCTGGCCACTGTAGCGGACCCACCGGGTGTGGTGCTCCGCTAGTGGTAGAGATGGAGATGGAGGAAGAAAGGGGGGAGCGAGGTGGCACAACGCAGCTCCCCACGCAAGACTCCAACGCACGTACTCCAAAATGTGCAAGTGAAGAATGAGACTGAAAACAGACAATGGCTGGGGTATACCCCAGCGGACTGACGGGACTGGACTGGACTGGCTGGTACCGACAAAGGTACCGGCCTGGACTGGCCTACCCCGAATACAACACAGGCCTGTGAGAACAGGCCAAGGGGCTGGTCTCACAGGCCAACCCGAGGTCCGCTACACGATCCTCGGCCTGTGATGGATCRMCTWGATACAAACATGCTTCCGCCAAGAAGCGGAACTCTACCAAAGAAAAGAAAACCTGAGTAGTCTAGGATGCGGAGCAAGCTCAATGCTGAGTCCATGCGATGCAACCTAGGATATAAAATGTCACAAAACAGCAATGTCACAGCTAACAGCCTAAGTGAAAGCAGAAGCAACTAACTAACATACATGTCCTAGGAAAGCAAAAGCAACTAACTAGCATACAAGTCCTAGGAAAGCAGAAAGTAGTGACAACTAGATCCTAGAATKTTGGAGGCACTAGCCTCAGTCTGGTAACAACTGACTAGTGTATAAGTCCTAAGAACAGCAAAAGCAGAACAGCTAAATCCTAGAAATGTCGGAGGCAGTARCCTCAGTYTGAGAGCAACAAAGCAATCAACAAGACGACCATATGTCACATGAGAAGTGTGTCGCAAACCAAAGGGTGGGATGGTCTCTGAGGGTGGCGAATGCAGCCTAGGGGTCGAAAACTCCTAAGGGCATCCACACATAGTGACAGGGGAAAACACATGTCATCAGGCTCAATGAGGGTAGGGATCTGGGAGTGAACAAAATCAATGACCCTAACAGATAGACCATCAGGGCGGATAATGCTCGACTAAGGGGTGACCGCTATGGAGGGTCGACCATGCAAGGGAACAAGGGAGCCTGGTATACCGGGCGCACCTAGATGAAGTATGCGGGACTGCCTAACTAGGGCGTGAGGGCCGACGAAGGGTAGAAAGATGATGGGTAAGGGAATCATGCAAATGACTCCTAAAGTGAGGGAGGTCGGAGTTAGATCTGTAAGATGGGAAACCAAGGCAACGATACGGTCCCGATGCCTATGCGTATACCAAGGGGGAGCCCAACTCAGAGGAACCCGGCTAAAGGGAGACCATCATGCGACACAAGCAGGGTACTGTACAGGGTAAAGTGGTAAGAGAGTGGCGACGTCTGAAGTAGGCAGAGAGGGAGAAGAGGACAACAAACCAGGGGCTGTGACAAACTGTTTTGTCAAATAGATGAGAAGTCCGGAATGCCGTTGAGGAAGAGCCGCAACGTCGACGAGCCGAAGTAGCAAAACTGGAGTGGATGGAGTACTAAGAAGTCAAGGACGTGGGAAGGTGAGTCAGAGTCAATCGTCGTATCGAGCAGGACGACGACGAGTGCGTTGTGGACGCTCAGAAGCATCCGGATGTTGATGAAGGTCTGCCTCAGATGGAGCAGGCTCGACTTCATCAGTCTCCTCAGCCGGGGGAGAAGGAGGAGGGTCAGTGGGCTGAGGAGGAGCAGTGAACCCAGCACGACGAGCACGATCATAAGCACGCACCAACATGCGAGCGTGCTGYAAGTGCTCGAGGGGCTCCCAGGTAGCCTCCTCATCAGGGTAACCCTTCCAACGTACGAGATACTCGACGTGGGGAGGGTTGTCGTCGGTGACTCGGCGACCAATGATGGCTGAAACGAGGAACTCCTCGTGACCTTCTACCATGATGGGTGGAGGGCGCTCGTATGGTCGTCCAGCGAAACGCTCAGACGGTCTGCGGCAAGGACGCAGTAACGAGATGGTAGACATCGTGCATACGAGCCTGACGTAGGTAGTCGGGCAGCTTCACACGGAAGCTAACCGGACTAGATGCCGTATCAGAACCGACGGCCTGGAGGATGCGGCATGGGCCAAAGAAGCGACGCCGAAACTTGCGAAGCGTGTCTGCTTCGAGCTGTAAGTAGCGGGCGTCGATAAGCACATCATCACCAACTTTGAATGGATGATCCATCCTCGATCAGTTCGCACGTGCTGCCATGCGAGTCTGGGAAGCGGCTTTGTGCTCATGTGCGGTCTTCATAATCGACGTCATGTGTGCAACCCAATCGTCCAGGGCGGGAGAACTCGTGTCGGGGTGCAGCTGGGACGGTCGAAGGAAGTCCGCGGGAACACGAGGGTGATAGTCGAGGTCGCAATAGTAAGGCGACATCCCAGTGGCTGGCGAGACGGCGTGGTTGTAGGCTATCTCCGCGTGGGCAAGATGAAGATCCCACTACTGGTCGTCACGAACAATCTTTCGAAGAATATCTCCGAGAGTCCTGTTCGTGATCTCGGTCTAACCATCAGTCTGAGGATGGTAAGACGAGGAGAAACGGAGTTGAGTGTCGTATACCTCCTGGAGTCGTCGCCAGAATCGGCTGGTAAAGCGCGGGTCACGGTCAGATATGATGCTCAGAGGTAAGCCATGGTCACGCACGACTCGGTCAAACACGATGTCGACGACCTCACGTGCACTGATGGCATAGCGGCACGGAACAAAGTGTGCACGCTTCGTGAAGCGGTCGACAACGACCAGGATAGCATCATGACCGCGAGGGGTCGGAGGACAAAGAGGACCGATAAAGCCCATCGAGATGGACTGCCAACGACCCTCAGGGATAGGAAGAGGCTGGAGCAAACCATAAGGCAGGTGGTTCGCACTGTTCACCTCCTGACAGGTGGGACACTCTGCGACATAGTCCTTCACAAAGTCCTTGCGCTTCGGCCAGACATACAGGCGGCTCACACGAGCCAACGTCTTGTGGAAGCCCATATGACCAGCGGCTGCCTGGTCATGGAACTCTGCTACTGCTCGGACACGTAGCTGTCCAGTGGAGGGAACGCAAATACGGGGTTCTCTGGTGCCCTGTGAACCGTGCCAGTACACAAGACCGTTGTGCCCGAGAGAGTAGTTCGGGACGGTCTTGCTGCTTCGAAGGGTCGCGTGGATGTCGCGATAGTCGGGGCAGTGGCGGTACTGAGTGCGAAACTCGTCGATCACCGAGTGGTGGATAGCGGTGCCCGAGATGGAAGAGAGCTGGATGTGCTCCTGGTCGTGGTCAGGGCGCCAGGATAAGGCATCTGCGACCCGATTAGTCTCACCCTTGATGTGCTCAGTGGTGAAACTAAACTCGGATAGGTCGCGCCACCAGCGAGCCTGTCGAGGAGTGAGCTTCGGCTTTGTCAGAAAAGCCTGGACAACTGAGTCGTCCATGCGCACCGTAAATGGTGCCCCATGCAGGTAGTGACGCCAGTGCCGAGCGGCATAAACTACTGCGAGAACCTCACGTTCATCAACAGTGTAGTTTATCTCGGCGGGCAAGAGCTGACGGGAGTAGAAGGCTTTGGGACAATCACCTGAGCGAGACTCGACAGTGCCGTCGTCGGCGATGGTAGGAGAATAGTTAATAGAGGGTTCGTCAGTAGCTGGACGAGTAGGCGCAGTCAGGAAGCAGTGGTAGGGGTAGGTGGTGGGAAGCGAGGGATACGAGGATGAGAGGAATCATGAGAGGAGGGGAAGACATGAGAAAGCACTGCTCCTACAGCAAAGTCTAACGCATCGGTGGTAAGGATAAAAGGGCGATCAAAATCGGGTAGGTGAAGAACCGGTGCGCATATCACCGCCTTCTTGAGGGCGCAGAAGGCATGCTCGTGGAGGGGTGTCCAAGCCCAGGGTGGGTTCTTCCGGAGGAGGGTGGAGGTAAGGACGTAGGAATGCCTAGCATATCCCCGGATGAAGTTACTATAGTAGCTGGTCAGGCCTAGGAAGCTGCAAAGTTGCTTGGCGGATGTGGGGGCGGGCCACTCCGCAATAGCAGTGATCTTCGTGTCATCCATGTGGAGACCCTGGTCAGACACGTAGTGTCCTAAGAAATCCACTTTGTGCTGGGCAAAGCGACACTTGCTCAGCTTGGCGTAGAAGCCATGTCTGCGCAAGCGGTCAAGGACGTCGCGGAGGTGTCTGAGGTGCTCCTCAAGGGTACGACTGTAGACCAGGATATCGTCGAGGTAGACGAGAACGTACTGCTCCAGGATGTCCCTGAAG